CCCCCCGGGCAACGGTCGCCGCGGGAGGGCGGGCGATGGCGGCGCCTCCCGCCTTCCGCTCGCGGCGAGTGAGGCGGCTGCTCCGGCAAGTAGGTGCAGCGGGGCGACCCGCCCGCCCGTGGCATCTGCGAGCGCCCGGCGGGCTGGCGAGCACCGGCTGCGGGCTACGTGCGCCGCTTTCCTCGCCCAACGGCTCGGCGGTGCGCGCCGCGCTCGGCTTCGCCTCCCCTCACAAATACCCCAGGGCTCGCCCCGAAAGTGCTCGACCGAGATTGGCCTTGCTGTGCTACCTCTTTCAGAGAGTTCTTCTAGTATCTGTCTAGTATCTAATATCAAAACTGACCAGGGTCTGAGTTGCTTTAACTTTTTGGAAACAAGAATTTTGTGTCCTAACATTTTTTTTTTTTTCCCCCGGGTCATGGTAGTAAGATAATAATACTTATTATCTTTCCGCAAAACCCCAAAATTCTTTGGAAGACTGCACAGGATCTTGCTTATCTGTCTACTGCTGCACAAAACTGTTCACTCAGAGCTTGGCTAGTCGGCCTCACTTCTCTCCAAACTAGGAGGATTACAGCAGAAATCCTTCCCATTTGTCCCTGAGTCAGTAACCTTTATTTTGCACTCCAGAATTTAATTCCTGGTCTGCTTAGATTCAATTGCCTGTTCCTGTCCGCAGTGACGATGCCAGCTCGTTTCGTAACAGCAGACTCCGGGCTTTGCATGGGTGGGCTTTCTCGCATCTTCCAGCCTCACTTGTGTTGCCTGTGCTTTAGCCCAGTTCCTCACCCAGTTTATAATTCTGCCAGGTTTTTAAAAAGTGTACTGATTTTAGTCTAGCATGACTTGTCTGATGAACATACGTTGTGTTTTGCATTGTTTTTGTGTGAACCTGGGCACATTGCAAAAAAAAAAAAGCAATTCTTTAAATTTCTGCGTGCTGTCCATCTTGTTGGGTCCTGTTTGCTGAGTGTAAGGAGAGTGTTTCTGTCCCTTCCATCAGGCACCATGTCCTAGTATCATTATTTTATGTATTTGCAGTGCTCTCCTACTGCTGCTTTTATACTCTGGCACCCCAGATGCAGCTAGTGTCTGTTACTAGTCTCTGTACCTTAGTTATTCCTGCTTTCATCCTCATAACTAATAGTACGTAGGACTTTCCTTACATGGTCTTTAATGTGTAAGTCATTATAGTGGAAAGGTTTCTGGTTCTTGTCAGCTGTATGCACACAAACCTTCAGCTACCTGTTCTATATCATTTGCACATCTATGATATTTTTAGCAATTGTTCATGACTTCCAAGAAGTAGCTTTCCTAGTTGGTTAACCATCTCTTCTATTTTAATTTCAGTTCCTAGTAAATTCACTGCATATTGTTGGCTTCCTTCTTGAGGCAGTTCTTCCAGCTGATTCGAATTCCCATTTCTACTAGTTTTCATTTTGTGACTCAGATTCACAGTAATTTTAGTGGTAGGCCTGCTAGGTATTCAAGTGCTTGATTTCGTTAGTGTTTTTGAGTGTGCATTTCCTTTAGTTGTGTCGGGCCCAGAGGAGGATGAGGAGGCAAAACTGAAGTTTACTGTAAATTATCTGCATTAAAATACATGAGAAATTGGAGGTATTTACCATTGACAAATCTTGGATTGCACTTAAAACCGGAATTAGGAAGCCTTTTATAGTTTACTCCAGACTTGTCCATATACATCCCTCTATTGCCATTATTAGAAAGTGAGTGAAAACCATTGCTAGAGTTCACTTAAAAAGTAAAGAGGGAGTCTGGAAGAGGTATTGATAGCTATTAATACCACAAAAACCTCCAATCTTAATATTCTGAAGATACCTGTTTTAAAATTTTGACCCAAGCTATGTAACTTGAGTGAGAGTTGCAACAATTGTATTACAAACAAACTTAAATTTGAATTTATTTAACAAACATAATGCTGCCTAAATGCCACATAGTGTGTTTGTTCCATGAATACCAATGCTGCCAGTCATTTTCCTCATATTTCATTTGTTAGTAATATTTTAATCAAAACTCTTTTATTTTACTTTAAGTAGTTTTTTGTTTTGTTTTGCAGATGTTGGCTCTTAATAGACGTTTTCAGTCTATTAGCAAGTAAACAAAGAGACTTCTACCTTCTCTAGTGTCGTGCCCTGCCACACAGATCCAACCATGCCTGCAGACGGAAAAAGTGATATGGAGAGGGTTGGCCTCTTCAGTGAAATGGGTTATATTTCCATTGGAGATAAATATGTATCACATTATATGCGTAAGTACATTTAATTTAAATCACTGTTTAACGATAGGAATACCTCTGGTATCTATCTACTTTCAGAAAGACTACATTTTCTTTCAGAGGCAATTGCCTTTTCAAATATGTTCTTTGTTCAGGTCAGTCTATTGAGAGAGATTCTTGATGTGTTGGAATAACATATTTAGTAAAGAAAAAACCCACCACAAAACTGAAAAATATGTGTGCATAATAAATTCCTAAAATTTGTTAGGATATGTATTTCTCTGTAAGACTTGTAAGATTTCTCTGTAAGTCTTACAGATAAGTGTGAGTTCCTCTTTCCCCACTCCATTTTTTGGCAGGGAAGGGAGCACAGGGACGGGAAGCGGGTGTAGATCCTTCATGTCTTGAATTTGTTGTTCAGTAGGATTATCCATTGAGCAAGATAATTTTTGTAAATAGTAAGGTGGCAGAGTTTGACTCTCAGTAGCCCCTTTGAAGTGGTGCCACGGAATAATCCTGGCTTCCCAGTACTGATGTTTCTGCTGTGATGCTCTGTCAGTGGTGAACACGTCCACCAGAACCAGATCACCAGCCCATCACTTTGCCCGCACTGAGCTGCTGCAGATTCAAAACACTTGACTGAAGGCACTTAAGAGCTACTTGGTCTCAGAATTGGTGGGGAAGAGATGCTGCTCTGAGATATTGCTAGTGGGCATCAGCTGCAGCTCTGAACCACCTGGCTGATACAGCCAATCTGTCTTTCTTCTAATGCAAGTTTAGGGATTAGAACTATAACTTAATACTGTGAATACCCTCCTGTAGCATTCTCTTTCGCATATATCTGGTTGCTACATAGGATTCGAATTACGAAACTGTGGTATGTTAGCAGCATGTTGAACCACCTAGATCACCTAGATCCATTAGATTTTTAATGTAGGCTAAAGCAATGGCATCAAACGATTACTTACAGTGCTTACTCTTTTAAAGGCCCTTTTAATGAAGCTGCAAGCAAGAACAGACAGATGTTACCTGGGGGGAGCAAAGCATTGTCAGCTCTTCAGGCAGGTTATTTTGAGCCTCAGTTTGTGAGAATTTTTGATGGTGAAGCCTACTCAAATCCTGTTCAGCTAAGGAGGCGCTATAGATTGGCAGAATCAAAGAAAAATTTGGGCAGAGCTTTCCTTCCCAGTAATGGAGACAAATTGCCGTAAGTTGTCAAAATGTTTAAATAAATCTTTTCCTTTCCTATAAATTATAGATAACTTTTCACTAATAAATAAAAAACCTGTAATGGGAGTACATTCTTTAGGAAAGATAAACGTGATACAGATGATATAGTGCTAATCACAGTGCTGAGTGCAGAATTATGGATATCAGCAAGAAATTAGAGATAAGGGAAGGTTGAATGCTCATAGAAATCAATTTCTGATGTTCAGTTTTATCTACTGTTTTATATAACTGTCTACTGCTGTGAACAGTTTTTTCAACTGTTAGCTTTCTATTTTCAATTAAAATGAAAATGGGTTTGGGAAAGGCGTCTATATAATGAATGAATGCATATTTTATTTTAATTTAGAAGGGAGTCTGTTGGCACTTGTCAGATACAGTTCTGAGCCTCCCAAAATAGATATAGTATATACATTGCAAAAGCATCAGGAAAACAGGCCAGGCTTTCTCCCTCACAGAGTCCAAATAGATTATCTTTTTGCCAGAAAAAATCTGATACTATTACAGGATAATCAGAAGATGTGACAGAGCTTAGGAGTATGTGAAGCAAAATGTTAAAATAAATGTCTTTGCAATTTGCACATTTATTTCACGATAAAATGATGCCAAAGAAAATGATTTCAAATATCTTAATCTTATGTATTAACAGAGTAGTTATTTGTCTAAAACTATACAAGCTGCTGCAAGATAGTTCAGTGTATGTACCCAGCCTATTTTTTATTGTCTTATGTTTAGTCATATCATTCTACAACTTTGCATTTAGGAAGTTTGGTGTGTATCACTTTTATATATTTATATTTTAGGGAGCAAGGATTAGCTATCTTCTGTCATAGATTACAGGAAAAAAACCCCTTTTTTAATGTGAAAGTAAGACTGTGTGTAGGCTGCCTGTGTGAGCTTTCTGTTGGATGTGTGTGCACGCTATTTTTGGTGGGACAGAAAATGGGTGAGCCCAGAGCTGAAAAGTTTTTCAGTTGCAATTACCTTCTATAGCAACCAAATGTACTAACAGGATCTAACTGCCAGAAACACCTAGGCACTAATTTCAAATCCCTGTGAGTTGAACAGTGCTGTTCATTTTCTTTCTGGGTTCTGGGTCCTGCTCCACCAAGTCTTATAAAAAGATCCTGTCAAGGCACCCTCCTCCACACATCGTCTCCACAAACACTCTTGGCTCCGGGTACAGCAGCCCAGACTCTCTTGCTTGTTCTAAGGCTCCCAAGTTCTTCTAGGCATGAACTGTAGGACAGGTTCTTTATCTTCTCCTAAATCTGTGCTGGCAGAGTAGCGCAAAGCAGAGGCTGGAAAGGTGGCTAGGCTGTCTTATTAGTAAAATCTTCAAGTAGTTATGGAGAGTGATAGGTTTCTTATGTCCAAAACTGGCTCCAGTGCAACTCGGGAAATAGAGCAGAGCTGCATCAGCACTGTTATTCCTGTCTGCCTGAATAATAAGCTTTTGGAAATCTTTTGCTTGCATTGGAGCCAGGTTTGTCATTGGCTGAAAATTCCGAGGTTGCAAAGATGCCATGTTCTGAAGATGTGACTGATTTCTAGGCCTTTATTTTCCTCATTTGTCTATATTCTGTCATTATGTTACTTGTATATAGAAAGCTAAAACAACATTTAAAGTTTGCAAAGCGCTTAAATGCTAGGAAATGCAAAGATAAAGTTTGTCTGTGCAGTGTCAGTTTGCCCAGTTTTTGTTGTATATAGGATTTTTCTTGACCACTGTACCTGTGGCTTAGCGGACCAATTGCCATGTCTTGGGCCTTTGTCATTTGGTAGCTGTATGGTTATGTACTTTGAGAAGACATCATATCCTACCAACAGATACTGATTTTTCAGGTTAGTCTTTAAAAAAAAAAACTTTGTGAATTCCTTCAGCTTCATAGGCTGAGATGTTTCTCCTAAATGAGCTGTGCCTCTCTTTGTTCTTCTTTTGTGATAAGACAGAAAGATAGACAGTCATGAGCCACATCCAGGAAAAAAACCCAGGTCCCCCATGTGGCCTGCCTCTCCGTTATCATGAGGACACTGCCATCTAGGCAATGCCACCCTCTTATCATCAAATACCACCACTACTGAACCCAGTCCTCTGGGTGACTGTCAGTCCAGCAGGTTTGTGGTGGACTGTGCCTACATGTTTGTATTTGTGAATCGGTGTTGACCAGTGTTCCTTTGGGTTGTTGAGGCAAAACTGAAGCAAAACCAGAAGTCAGACTTTCTTAAGGCTATCTGTGTTATTAAGTACTCCCATCGTTGCTACCGTTTGCTTCTTTTGTGTCCATAATGCTGTACAGGTTTACTGTAATAATGTAATAATGCACAGTGATGAAGTTTTATATTTATTTTTTGAAACATGTTATTTTACACTAGAGCCGGAAAGTTCAAAAAAGCTCAAAGCATTCATTAACATGTTTATTTTCTATTTTTAGATGTGGACTGGGCAGCTATTATGGAACCATAGGAGGTCCATATGCATACTTCAGCGCGCAACTGAAAGCCAAAGAAAAATACATTCCTCCTGGAAAGAATTTTTATACTAATCCAGGAAAGAAAGGAACTGGATATGGGTAACTTCTCAAGTATTTTATTTTATGTTTCTTGATTTTTTTTTGTTTGTTTTGTTAGCTTCTCATTCATTCATTTTCTTTTTACAGATACGCAAATGTTACCATAGGTGAACAATATCCACATGCACCTGAAGTATATGAAGCAGGAAGAATAGCTGCAAAGGTGTAAAAATATTTGTCTTTATTATGTATTAGTGCAGTGATTATTTATTACAATTACACATGATTGTAATAATGACCAAGTAAAACCAATAGAAAGAACAATACTATTACTTCTACATTATTGTAAGTAGTGATAAAAACAAGATGAGAAGCAGCAGCTTGGATACCTGTAGCTGAGGCAAACTTGGATTCAAAGTTCTGCATCTGGTGCAGATAGTGAGAAGCACTGAGAATAGAGGGATGCAGTATTACTTCTTATGAGCTGGGTAAAGAGTAAATAGGGAATTTGCTCTGAGACATTAGCATGAATCCATCTCAGTGATCTGTATTAGTAAGGATGCATTTCATACCTCTTGTAATTGTTTGCAATGCTAGTTTTTCCCTAGTTCATTTGAAAATGGAATCTGGGAAGAATAATCAACAGCTTTCATGGTTAAATGAACCAATCCTTAGAGGAACTCAACTTAGCAAGGTGCTCAGAATGTAGGACATGCTTCTGGATATCTTATCATTATGCCCACATAAATGTAGTGGCAGTATGGCCAGTGTATTATGCAGTTGATATGCATGAAGGCAGGATTTTCAATCATGTGTGTACATTTTTTTTGCCCAAGATAGAGGTACACAATATGGTCAGTGTTCCAAGCACTCTAGTTGGTGTACCTGCATGTTCCATTATGGACACTGTGAATATAAAATACCTAGATGAAACAATAGCAAAGAAGGTTATAGTGAGCTGAATTTAAATGTTTTTTTTTTTTCTCTTAGGTGAATATGCAGTAAAAATGTTTAAGATTTTTTCTTTCAAAATACTTCTTTTACAGAAAGCACTAGAGGAACATCGACGTCTGGTTAAAGGAGGGCCTTTCAAGTTAAATCTGTATCCCCGGGAGTATTTTGATATTAATCCCTATTTTACTGACCAACCTTTGCCACCAGTTAAGCAACAACCTCCAGGAAAGAAAATTGCGCCACCTTTTAAACCAAGTTCTCCTGCTAAAAAGGTTAGTTTATTTTATAGCTGCTGAATACAAAAGGTAAGCATTCAGGTATTTCCTACTAAAAGCTTTGCTTTGAGTACCTAAAGACAGAACTCAGTGTTTGGTTTTGCTATTGCTTTCTTACAGGGGAAAACAGAAAGGCTATTAATCAATTTACTGTGTTTCCAGTTTCCATGGCAGTGAAATGCTGCTTGACCCAACCTACTCCCAAAGAGCATAGCTAGCCAGTGTTAAGTAGCTTGAGAAGTGTTTCTATTTAAAACCTGCATAGTGTTGTTAACATGGAGTAATTGCCTGCATACTGTCACAAAAAGGTAAACAATGAAAGTCTATGCAATATATGACATTAAAGTTGGATTATTGTTGCAAATTGAAATCTCCTTCTGTTTTGGACTCCTATTAGTTACTTGCATAGAATTTTTGAAGTTGTTGATTAAGCCTATTTAGACAATTCTAAAAGATAGTTCCTAGAAATGTCATGGATGGAAATGCATGGCCAGAAGGAGCAGAAAGGCTCAGTGGAGTATCTCAGAGAAATGCTGCAAAAGGAAACTGTTAGAGAGTTACCTGTTCTGTTTATCTACCAGCTGATAGAGATTTGGAATCAGATTCAGAATTTGTTGAGTAGTTAGGAAAAAGGAGGAAAGGATGGGAATAAATACAGGTGTGAAGCTTGGGAGACATGGGGTTTGGGGACTGGGATTACTATCAGGGTGGGAAAGGAGATATATAGGAATATATGATGCAGAGGAAATCATCGTTCATGAGTTCAGTTACTTAGTACTGTTATTTCCTAAAATATAAGTAGGGATTCTTGCATCTGTAAAACAGTGGAAATGTGCATATTTCATTGCCTTTATGTCTCCTGATGTACTTCTTGAGATGAGATACTAAGATACTTGGGCTAAATCTTAATGTAAGTTTGAAATGGATTTAAGATACAGATACATAAATCACTCTCTTAAATGACTCTAAATACCTGATAGAGTAACACCCCCTCAGTCTGTCACTTTTCTTCATTTTGGAATCATTTAGTACTGTGCTCTGCCAACCACCATTTCTGATTATTCTATCCTTCCCCCTTGACTGATTTCATTCACCTTGATTGTTCTTAGGAAGATGATGCCAGTGATGCAAATACAAATATTCAGAAAGAGGCAGCAAGAACACTTATGCATACATTGTGCTGTATTTAGCCTCACAGATGAGGCATCTGAGATCTTCAGGAATAGTGATCTATTCCTAAAAGTCAGCTGCTGAAAAGTCAGAACGTCCTCTAGATGACAACACTGCTGATCTGCTCTTGCCTTCCCATCCTTCATACTGTCTGTGCTGTCCGTGACTATGTAAACTGCGTGTGCTTCCCAGGCTATTGCATATTCCCCCATATTTTTATGGGAAAACATCTTCATTTGTTTCAGTTGATCCACTGCAACACTTAGTGCTGCACTTTTCAGGAGTGCAGCCTCAACAGACTCTGGTATTTAGCTCTGTTCAGTCCTATAGGTCAAAAAATATAATGATAATAATGCCCTAGCTTTTCCTTTTATAACAATTGTCAACTTTTTCTCAATGTGGAGGTGCGCTAATGAACTAATAATGACTTAATAAGCCCAATTTTATCCACAGCATAATAGTTCTTTTTAGTGGGTTATGTTTTTAAATTTTCTATCACAATTTTAAGATCCTTCATAATTTAGAAGACTTATAAAACAGCATTTTCAATCAAGAATTCATCAACATAATTACTATTTTTTCCTAAGAGCTTCCAATGCAAGTTTAAGCAGCATGTGATTTTTTTTGTATAGTTTGATGCAGCCTGATACGCAGTATTCATACTTGCTTTTGCATGAAAAGTATTTTAATTAACTCAATTACGCTATAGATTGACACTTTGAAAAGTTTCCTCTTTTTTTTTCAGGCAGGGGGCATGAAAGGAGGTACATTTGATCCTTATCCAAGCCATTCTGATGAACCCTATGTAATTAAAAAATCTATGGCAGTCACAACTAATAAAAGGGGACAGATTTTTCATCCTCCTCCTGGACCAAAAAGCAGACCTATTAAAAGCATAATGACTTTAAACGTCACAAGGTAAGCCACTTCAAGTTCATGTTTCATGTATGCTGTCAGCCTAAAGTCATTAGTCCAGCTGCTTATTACCGTCTAGAGTAATTGAACCTTTTAAAACTAACTCATTAAATTTATATAAAAGTAATTAGGTTTTCTTTCTCTTTGAGGAGCTAATTATTGGCAAAAAGATAAGGTAAAGGACCTGGACTTTCAAGATTTATTCCTCTTTTTTGTAAATCCAAGTTACTTTAAAAGGCTGTACCAGTGTTTGTTTTTGTTTTCTCATATGTTTATTGATCGTAATTGGCTCCCTCTGCTGGCAAATGTAATCCTAGGTAACCTAAGTCAGTGACATTTTTGAAACCACAGTATTCAAATTGGTTGTCATAGAATCATAGAATGCTTAAGGTTAGAAATGTCTTTATCGGAGGTTTATTTTACCGACTATATGCACATATAGATGTTCATGAGCACATAGTTTACTACATTTTAATCTTGGTGAAGTATTACTTATATTTAGAATAAACTTATTTTCTGTGTTTGCTTCTATTGTAATTCAAGCAGAGAACCAAGACCATGTTCTTTAGAATTACTTAGAGAAAACACTTCCAAATGCAGACTTCTAAGAATTGCATGTAGAAGAGCTAAGTATAGATGCGTGTGTGGGTTTTCTTGCATTTTGAGTGTGTATTGTTTGTTTTTCATTTGTTTGTTTTTTCTTTTCATGCTCCAGCAGTAACATGAAGCATGTTAGGAGAATTTGATTAGTATTTGAAAAAACCGTCTTGGCAGAATCTGCTTCACATCTGTGATATGCTTTTATATACAATATGTGAAGTCTAAAAAATATATCCTCCTTATCCATCCATTGCTGGGCCATTTAATTTCATTGTTTTGCCATATATCTGAATTTGCATGATTGCTTTTTAAGTTGCAGAGGCGGTTGAAAAGGACAAAATAGAAGATACATATCACTCCACACTGCCTTTTATTACTAATTGAAAATAAGTACTCCAAAAACATCGGCAACTAGCAGTGCTGATGCAAGAAAGTACGACCTTCCATGCACACAAAGGTCCTTTCAAACTATTAAAAATGAAAGAGAATACTGGTTGACTAGCCTTTTATCAGTATAATTGTTCATATTATTATTTCACCAACTGATTAAGAAATCGTGTTTCCAAATGAGCTACTTTATTGGAAAAAAATTCCTTGTATGTGAAGTACATCTTAAAATTGAAAGGCAGCTTACTGTGAAGATTTGCTGTGTTTGTGGACTCATTTGTAAAAGCAGAACCAATTCACAAATTCAAATGAGCTTCCAGAGAGAAATTAAAACAAGCATTTAAAATTCCCCATGACTATTTCCCTCCCAAGAATTAAAAAATGTTTTTTTTATTTCTTATATTTAATGTAATGAGAAATGCATTTATTATAAGTATGAAGCTCATAGGCCCTGCAGTTTAAGAAATGTAGTGGGAAATAATTTTTCAGAGTGTCTGCTTCCTCCTGAATTACAATTCTCTATCTTCTCTCCAATTTAAACCCTAATGTTACAGTTGGATTTGCTAGTGTGAATTCTTGCTCTCAGAGTTTTATTGAAATCAATTGGTTTTCACAATGATTCAAGTCATTAAATCTAATTACAGGATTGAGAGTAGTCCTGGTTTTTATCTTTTGCAAAAAGTGTTTTCTACAAGGATATTCTACACAAATCTAATGTTTATCTTCATATATTTTTCAGATCATTAAATGCAATGAATTACAAGACTGCAAGTTTGGCATCATACTAGGTACAAACAGTGAAATGAAGTATACTTTTTAAGCTCTGTAAACTCTTAATATGTTTGCTAGTCAACATTTAAAGTAAATAATAACAAAAAAAAAGGAAATGTGAATTAAGGCACATAGGTCAATCAAATCTCTTTAATTATTGACAACAGTCTTTGGTTTGTAAATCTCAATCAAAAATAAATATTTAAAAATATGTGTTTATTAATGCCAACGTTATATTTTTATTTAAGTTAAGCTATTTTAAAATCTTACAGCTTAGCATGCTTTCTGAAATGTATTTTGCAAAATCTTATGTATTTTAGGTTTTAAGGTTAATATATATTGCAGTGGAAGAAAGAGATAATCTTCTAAAGTGGCTATCAAAATAAATATATTAACTAGGTCACTTATTACCCATAGTGGAACTAAAGTCACGGTTTCCCTTTGGAAGAAATAAAATTTGAGTTTGTGCCAACCCTATTGAATCTACATTTGTGTGAAAACTGTCCTAGAAAATACCTTAACCTTTAGGTAGGATGAGCTTCTCAAAATGACCAGCACCAAGGGCCGTTCGCAGTCAGAGCACACACAGTCCTTTACAAAGGGAGTCATCTCTACTTACCAGCATCTACTTACGTGTCCTCCTGGCAGCTCCAAGCGCTGCCATATTCCCTACCAGCTGCTTAATTTGTATGTGGAAGGAACCTCAGTCTCAACTGTCTTTCAAACTCGCTACTTTCCAGATGGAACCACAATCCCAGCTGTATAACTTGCCTACATCCTAATAATTTTTGTCAGGATTTCCATGAGATGTAAGATTTTTTTTTTGTTGTTGTTCATCAGAGCTAATTTATTAAAAAAATCAGCATTTATATTTCCAAGTTATTACATGAAGGCAACATGTAATAGGCAACATTCACTTTTATTAAAGATTTATCTCACCATGGTATTCTTGGAATGGTATCCTTTCCTCACTGCTAGCTGAGTGATAGTTTTAAAGGAAAGTCCACACTGGATTTCACAATTCCTGGCATCAGTGAAAATCCTAAAAAAGAAAAATAAAAAAAAGGGGCAAGTTTTCCAGGAGTTATCCAGGCATAAATTCTCTTACTTCAATTGATATTGAAGTATCCCAACAATATTTTAAATATTAATTTATACAGAATTTTTGATGGTTCTCTATCCAAATCCTAGAACATAGGATTATTCCTAGGAAGAGTTCCTTCCTTTTTTGTGGATACCATGTACTAATTGATGGTACTTGTGATGACCCCAGACTCTTTAGTGTTACCTTCATAAGAATATCAGGAAATTGTGCCAGTGTTGTTCTCTGGTGAACTTCCCAGACTCTGCCTTCCTAGGAAGGCTGAAATGCCCTGCACTTCCTCCTGACTGCTGTTCGGAGCTCTGTCTCTCTCAGCGCAGATGTGGCACAGTCTGCACTCAGGTTTTTCCGTACATTCTTTTGCTTCTTCTCTTCTAATTCTTCCTCTTCTACTTTCTTTTGTATTTCAGTAATCATTTCACTCTCTAACAAAGCTGGCATACTGGAAACTAATGAAAATATATAAAGCTTAATTTGGGGAAAACAAATGAACAACAACAACAACAAAAAACAATCCAGCCTGTTACAGAGGTGTGCCTTGTGTTGATTAAAGTCACACCAGCATTGTATGTCACCTAAAAGGTATGCAGACAGAAGTTAAATCAAGTTAGGGCTTCTTGCAGAAGTCACTGGTGAAATGTTTTAAGACAGTGTTCTGAGCCTGAAGCCTTAGGGGCAGAACTCCATCCACTGCAAACTGTCACAGTTAAATTTCTGTAGACTAACTTACATTATGTAGGGATCTACTGGTTTGAAGCTGTAGAACTCAGTCAAATATCAAAAGACAGGAGATTCCTAATTGTGAAGCTTCATAAAAATCAGTAAGCTGCTTTTTAGGGCATAGTAAAAAAAAATGATTTCCAGTTTTATAAAATTGTAAAATGTTCATCACAGTTTTTTTTTTAGAGCAAGAGCCTGTTGTAGATTCACAGGAATTGACTAGGAAATCAGCCAGCAAAAAAAAAGAGCAGACCCAAGAGTCTATCCCTAAATGTCTATCACATTTAGAGATCAGTGGAGAGCTCGCTGCAGTCAAGTTTCCGAACTTTTTGTATGCACTCTCAAGCAAACCCTCATTGTGGTTTTGCTTTATAGCAATACGTACATTCTGTAGAATCTCTTTTTCAAAGCTCTCTTTTTCTGGCATTCTTAACATGGCATGAGACATAACAATAGCAATACCAAATCTGTATTTTTTCTACTTAAAACCTGAAGCAATATACTTCTGAAGTGTTGGTAATAGTCTTACTAAGAAAAAAGGGATGAAAGGAACAAATGGTGAAGTTAGAAACATGAAATTATAAAACAAAAACACTGCTAATGCGGCATTGCAAAAGCTACTGCCTACCTTGTGACTGGCATTCCAGAGCTGCATGCTTTGGATCAGAAATTGCAGGGGAGTATTCAGAGTAACAGTTATCCTGCGTGATGCCAGAACTGCAGCCAGGTTTGCTCTGCCCACGCGCCAGCGCTGTAGCTCGGCCACGGAGATAAGCGTAATCGTTGTGCAGGTGGCGGAATTCAAACTGCAGGACATCCCGCTCATTTTCAACACTCCGCAGATGATTTTCTAATAGCAGGCGTTCTTCAGTCAGCTTTCTAATGTCACTCTCGTATTTGGAAGCTCCTTGTCTGTATTCCTGAAGCTCTTTCTTAAGTAACTGATTTTCCTCGGTGATGTTAGTTATTGCTGTTGATAACCTCTCGCGTTCTCTGTCTGCGTTGGTCAAATTAGATTTTAAAAGATCAATATCTGCTTTTGCATATCTGAGTTCAGTCATGAGTTTCTTTTCTGTATGAGCTTTTTCAAACTGAACTTTCTCAAAGTCTTTCTGCAGCATCTCTTTGGTATTAGAACATTCTTGCAGGGTCATTTCAAGGTTATTTTTTTTGTCCTCTAGTGCCTGTGTTAACTGAAGAAGGGTCTCCAGTTCAGATTTTGTTGCAGTTTCTTTTTCTCGCATTTGCTGTATTTCACTCTGATTTCTTTCAAGCTCTCCCTCTAGGGAATTCTTTTCTTTCATAAGCTGGGATGTGTCTATCTCAAGTTTTTTATTTGCTTCTTGTAACATGGAACGTTCCTTTTGCAAGGACTCTAATGTTGCATTGAGCCTTTCTTTTTCACAGGTAACAACAGTCATCTCTTCCTCTACTTTCTGGTTCTTAATTTGAAAATCCTTTAGTGCTTGTATTGTACGTTGGTTTCCATTATAGAGTTGAGTCCTCTCTTCCTCAAGGATATTTTTCTGATTCTGGAGTTCTTTGCATCTTCTTAACAGCTTCTTTACTTCCTTAATGCTTTCCTTACTGTCATCTTCTGATTTAACTAACTGGCTTTGCATCCGTTTCTTTTCTTCAACTAAATCTCGAATTTGCTTATTGTATATTGATACTTTTTCTTTCAAAGACTGTATTGTAATATTAAGAGGTTTCACTTTGTTCTTGAGAAGCAGATTTTCCGTCTCAAGATCATGTACTCTGTTTTGCAAGTGCTCAGAATTTTTCAGGGACTTCTGTAACCCTTCAGTTTTCTCATCATGTTCACAGGGTACTTGGATTTTAGTGAACTTCTGATTTTCAAGCCTCAGTAATGTTTCATTAAAAATACTCAGGCTTTGTTCTTTTGCTAGATGCTTTTTATGATCAAGCGTTATTAACTCATCTTTCACCATTTGGGAAAAAAAATTAAGCTGGAAACTCTCACCTTCACTGTAATTGCTTCGAAATTCTTTATGTACAGTTTTGCTTTCAGACTCTGCTTGTTCCTTGCATGCTGTTAGAGAAGAACTCCATGCATTGACACATTTGGAGTCTTTATAAAATTCTTGATCAAAATGTAGGTCACTTTCTTTATGTGAAACTGAAACAATAGATTCGTCTAAAGAGCCTGCTGTTTCTGGAATTTCTTTTGATTTTATGTTATTTAATTTTTCTCTGCATAAAAAGCCAGATTTTACTATATCATGTTCTAACAAATCAGAATCATTACTGCCTAACTTCTGAAATTGCTGTTTTGATGACTTGTTAGGATACTTAATATTGTCTGCTACATAAAATTCTTTGCCATATTTGGGAGAAAGTATGGAAAGTTTAGGTTCATTCAAAATTACCTTTTCATGGGCAGCATGTAAGCTTTCTGTCTCCAATTCTGCATCAGGTAGCAAATGGCATTTATATTGATTTTTTAGTGCAAATACCGTTGTGTTTCCCATTAGATCTTCTGTTTTTTTTACCTTTCCAGTTGCTATGGTTTTCAGTGAAATACTATGTATAATTTTTATATCACTGACCATATTTCCAGTACTGGAATTTGCTTCCACATGCTCATCAATACCGGCTTGTTGATCATGATGAACTTTTTTATTAGAAAGTGATGATTCAGGATTTTCTGCAGGCTACCCACAAAAAAACAAACAAACAAAAACTGTTACACTGTAAGAATTGTAAAAAAAAAAAAAAAGAAAGAAAAGAAAAAAAAGAAAAAGAGGAAAAAGGAACTGGAAAAAAAAAGAAAAAGAGGAAAAAGAAATTGGAAGCATAAGAAAACTGTTATTAAAGCCACTTATTAATCAAGACTTGTACAGGTTATCTGCCATTGTCATTTATGTATTTGTCACAAAAAAGGTAAGCAGTTCTGCTGATCGCTGGGACTGGCACCTCTTTCCAAGACGGTCAGGAGGCCACTGCTGGGGATTTGGTGTGACAGTGAAGTCAGGAGAGGGGCAGAAAGTTCAGGCATTACTGAGGCACCCCAGGCAAATGCCTCTCTGTGGTGGTTTACATGAAGGTGTGTGGACTATTGCAAAGGCAAAAGCCTGCACAGATTCACAGTCATGGAGGATTCAAGCTCTCCTATTGCCGCAAATCCTCCGAGCCAGAAATGAGTAAAGAAATAAGAAATTGCATTTAATATGTAGTTTTGAAACAGGCTCAAAATACTAAATAAGCATCTTAAGTTTAGATTTCACAGGGAGGGAGATGACCTCAGAGAGCTAACAGACTACAGTTATTAATGGTTGTTTTATAATCTCATGCCCTATGAAATAAGGGAAACCTGGAGTTCACACTAAGTAGACAGAAAAAGTGGGATTTATGCTACATTTCATAGGACTAGGACAACATTTATTCCATCTTGCCCTTCCTCTTCTTTTCTTGACTCTCAGCTCTATCTCCCTGTATTCTTTGCATGGCATTTCATGTCCATTAAATATAATCCAAATTAACTGATAAAATAAAGTCATGCCTGTGCAGAAAATAAATCGAGCTTCATGTAGGTCTTCCCAAGACTTTCAGGACTCTTTTGGGCAGAATTATATCAAAGTTGTATTACAGAGAAAAGCCTCAGGGAGAAGATACTATTTTATTTGTCCCCACAATATCCTTTGGGTTATTTTCCAGAAAACCTGCAACTCACAACCCACAGTGCAGCATCATCTTTAAAGAGAAACTTGTTTGTAAGTAAAAATTGGTAAACATACCAGACATACATCACTTGGGGTGCTAATCATCAGTATCTTGCCTGAGCTACACTGTGGAGTTTTCATTTCAATTATATTTTTATTTAGTATTTCGCTGATTTCAGACTGTACCTGGAAAAGATTGAGATTGAAAAAAAAATAGTTTTTCGGAAATCCTATTTTTATCAGTAAGTTCTTTTTTAGGAGAGACAGACTAGATGAAAGTGCTGTAGGAATTTGGAATTATGTAAAACCAAGAATGTGCAAAGATAAGTATACTTCCAGTATCAGAGTTCTTGTTCCCACATAAAGAATCAGAAGAAATGGTGGCATAAAAATGCTCCTAGAACTGCGTGAAACAGGGCGGTTTGAAACAGTTGTCTGCTGACAGTGACATGAAGTGGAATCAAGTTATTCAAAAACAACAGAGCTTCCCTGAGTTTATAGTGATGCAAAGGGTATCTAACCCTTTCTTATTTTCCCCCGCTATGTTTCTTTCCCCTTATACATCTCTCTTATTTTTTCTTAGTCTTTCTAAGCCTCCAAATAATACTATGATTAGGTGACAACAAAAACATGCAAACGGATTAGTTTATTAGCTATTTTATGATAAACATAAGGAATGTGCATAATAATCTTAAAATAATTTTAGATTGCTGTTAAAACTCATATGGCAGTATCTAAAAATTCATGAGGATGCAGCTTTTATCTTTATTTTAAGAGTATTTGGGGCCTGCTTTTACCATGTTAACATTCTCCAGAATCTGCTGCCGAAGAGTTTTAAAGGATTCCAGCTGTTGCTGAAGAATCTGCAATGTATAAAATAAATATTAGGAAAATGGTACATTTTGTTAAAATATTGAAATGAGCTAAGATGTCTCCTTTGGTCAAACTTGTTTCTTTTCCAGTTTTAAGCTTGCTTTCAGGCAGCCCGTGAGTGGGAGTTCACTGAGCGGTTCCTCAAGAGACACTTAGTCACCAGCTGCAGTACCAGAGGATTTCAGCGTGGTGCTTCACGGCCAGCTTACTCACATCACTAAAACCCACCGTGGTATCTGGCACTGCTTTGGATCTCAGTCATTGCACTGAAACCAAATTGGGAATGTGCTGATGTCAGAGTTCATCCTTCCAATTCGTCTTTCAGGGTTGGACTGACCGTAGGATTAGAAATTGGGAATCCTGTTATTCTGCATTATCAAAAAATTAGCAAAGCAGTGCAGTCGCTGTATTTATATTCATATTAGCTCATTCACATTCATTGACCACCCTAAGTGCCCAGGCCCGCTGCCCCGTCTGCAGTGGCCGCAGAAGCGCGAGCTCCAGCGCTTGGTGCTGGGAACTTGGAATCCGGTCCTCTTACGTGCAGGGCTGTTGTCGGGGGAATGGGCTCCTCTGCTCCCACTGCGCTGCTGCCTGGAAATTAAAGAACAGCAGCGCTGCAGTTGCCGGGGGCTGGCGCCGGCGGGAAGGGCGCTTCACCAGGCACCAGCACAGCGGCGCCGGGGCGCATCGCGCCGAGCTGCGGGGCGCCC